GAAGAATACAAGGTATGGACGAGAGCAGAGGAGAAGGGCACGGCGGGAGGGTAGAATCCGTACCTTGAAATAGAGTTGAAAGTTGATTTTCCGTGGTTCCTTAACAAGCTAGAGCACCTAGAGAGATAAGAGATATTGGAAAAGTGAAAGGATGTTTACTTGTTAGGAAAACAGCAAGGAACATAAGAAGAGAGGGACCTAGGGAAAGAAAGGAGGGAAAAGCTAGTATGACTATCAAACTAGGAGGTTGACGACATGCTGAGAAAGAAAAGAGGACTTTACCCAACTATGGGATGGCCTTGGCTAGAGCGCTAGAATAAAACTGCTGGAGGTGAGGAGCAAGCTTTGAGATGCAGGAAGAAGAAAGATTGAGTGTGAGGAGGAGGAAGAAAAGCTCGAGAATGTGGTTGGAACGGCCAGGCTCTCGCAGCTCTAAAGGAAGTTCCATCTATTTTTTTCGTTTCCATCAGAAACTGCCCAGCTAGATTGCAATTTGTGAATTAGTTTTCGAACTTATTAGGGCGTGTTTTATATCTTTAGACCATTGCACATGTTGCATCATTTACTACGGAACTACAAGTTCGAAAATTCATCGTTTCGCGAATTGCAAGTTCCATAACCAATTAAGCGATGAAACTCAATGAAACTGGAAATATAGAATAGGCCCTCGTGATTCGCTTCGTTCAAGAAGCCAGGCACGCTTTGACAAAAAAAAAATCCGAACGGGTGGCAGAACAAATTCGACGTCACTGGACGGCTACAGTATTATCCGTCAGAAATTGCGCGCGTGACGAGCCTCGGGACTAGGCGCAGAAAAACAAAACCTGCCAGGTGGCAACTTTCGCCACCCCGCAGGGAAATCACGTGGCACAGTATCGAGAGTGACGATACTAAAACGAAAACGGAAACAAGATGAAGTAAGATGTGTAGCGTAAGAATAAACAATAAACAAAAGTAACATAAGAATCTAAAACAGGAAATAGAAGAACCAGCTCTAGGTGGCGGTTTCCACGCTTAGCAGTCGTGACATGTTAATAATTTGAATAATATTAAAACAAATATTATGAATTTGAATGGGTTATTTTTTAGTAGTAAAGGAATTTGCCATTCCTTACCGAGCGGTACTGCTATCGCGTACGCTCGAACACACCCTAAGCCTCGGGACTGTTCCAGACCTCCTGACAGAACCGTCTCGGCTTCTCCAGACCTGCTCGTTCGACCTTCGGGAGTTCTCCAGGCCTCGCTGCGTCACTTCGAGACCCTTCGATCTCCTTCCCGAACCTTACCATCGCATGGTTAGACTAGCTCTGGTGTTCCTATATCTTGGCTTGCCATTCCTTGTATCGTCATTCAATTGAGTGAACACTTCGTTATTCATTTCCGCGCTACTCTGCTTGTTCATTCATAACACCTGGTAATCAGAGCCACTTTCCTCGCTCACCCGTTTTTCGAGAGTTGATTTTTTTTGGGGGGGGGTAAGTCCCTCATGTAAGCTGCAAAGCGGTTGCTCGCAAATTAGACTGATTAATTCGCCCAACTACGATAGCGTTTGCGCTTACCTGAGTACAGGCACATTACGGATTTCCCCCTGCCCCGGCGGAGAATTCGCCAAATGGACCAAGCTCAGTTCAACGAGCTTCGGGAGCAGTTCAACGCCATGAGCACACGCATGGCTACAGTGCTGGAGGACAACGAGCGACTTCGTGCGGAAGTTGCTGAGTTACGCCAGGCGCGAGAGGATCCGCGTCAGAAATCTACCGCCCAAGAGGAGGTCGCCAGCACCGGACGTGTCGAAACCGTTTTGGATGAAATCGCATGTCAGGTGTCACAGGAGCGCAAGGACAATGAAGCCGCCGCAGCACCTGACGTGGCAGCACGAGCAGCAGCCGAAGCAGCAGCAGCAGCAGCAGCCGCTCGGTCAGAAGCAGCCGCTACTGTAGCCGCACCGGCGTTTATGCTGATCGTGACGACAGCGACGATCAAACCGACAATGCCGCCCCCGTTCAACCCCACAGATAAGCATACTACAGTTACGGGCTGGTTATTTTCGGTGGAACTTTATTTTAATGCCGCTGGGATCACTGCTGACGATTTAAAAATTCGACTGGCTGTATCACTACTGCGGGGACCTGCGCTAGATTGGTGGCGATATACTCTACAGGAGGGGGGGGTTTCGGCAGGCGACATATAGGGGTTTTTTGGAAACTTTGGGTCTGCTGCCCAAGGGTCAACCGTGATTTTTGGATCGACCAAGATTCGCACGTGGAAGGCGTGGGGTACAGCTCTGCGTGAACGGTTCGAGCCAATATTTGCCTCGGACAACGCACGCACGAAGCTGGACAACTGGCACCAGTGGAGTTCTGTCCAGGATTATGCGTCGGTCTTCATGGCGTTATGCGATCAAATCACCGACATGCATGACTCCGAGAAGAAAGCTCGATTCATTTCGGGTTTGAAGCAGGACATCAAATGCGAGGTCCGACTGCGACTGCCGGCGACGTTTCACAAAGCAGTCCGGATCGCAGATACAGTGACGGAACAAAGTGTCCGCATGTTGGCCATTTTTGTACGTAAAATGTATAAAACATGAATATTAGGAGTGTAGAGTTATCCTGGTCATTTGAGGTTGGTAGACAAAGGGCCTAGCACATCTTTGCTGCAGCCACTTGCCCATTTAAGACTAGTAAAATAGAAGTTGTGAAGGCAGAATTATACAGGGTACATTCGGACAGTTTGTTCCCAATTCAAACAAGGCATTGCAATGTCCTGAATTAGTAACGAGTCCATCTCCCCTTTGCCCTAACAACAGCCTTAATCCTCCTGGGCATGCTATCTATCAGTCCCCTATAGACATCAGCGGAGATACCCTCCCAAGTCTCCTGCACACGCTCCCAAGTCTGCAGCATGCCTGTATGGGGGCGTTCATACTTTGCAAGCTCACGTTTGAGGTGAGCCCAAAGGTGTTCAATGGGATTAAGGTCAGGGGAGGAAGAAGGCCACTGCAGGACTGCATATGGCTGCTCAGAGAGGAACTCCTGCACAAGTTTACTCTTGTGCTTTGGATCATTATCATGCTGGAAAATCACATCACATGCGGTCAGCGAGTAATAGTCGATCGTTTGAGAGAGCTCGTCCTGCAGGATCGAGCGGTACAGCTGCCCATCCATGCGCCCCTCAATTTTACACATGAACCCGGGCCCATCATAGGACATACAGCCCCATACCATTAAGGATCCGCCCCCATGCTTCACATACTGTTTTACCTGATGCCCTTGAAGGGCCGTGCCGTCGCGGATCCATGCATAGGTGCGGCCATCACTGCAGAAGCGGTTGATTTTGGTATCGTCAGACCAGATTACCCGCTTCCAGTCTTCGATCGTCCAATCCAGGTGGGCTCGTGCGAATTCCAATCTGTCCCGAATGTTCCGCGCCGAGAGTCGCGGTTCTTTGGTTGCTGTACAGCGACGAGGCCGGACTGCTTCAGTGCGTTTCGAACCGTTCGAGGGCACACCTTGATGCCCAGCTCCGACTCGAGTTGCGTAGCCGCCTCTGCACTCGTTTTCGCGGCGCCAGAAGTCACAGCACGCACAAGCCCCCGTCGCATCCGCACGGAGAGCAGGCTTGGCCGACCGTTTTGAGGGGCGGTCGGTCTAACAGACAGGCGACCGTCATGATGACATGCCAACTCAGCATATTTCTGGACAGTACTCTTGCCTAAGTCTAACATGCAAGCGATTTTACGAATGCTTAGACCCTGGCGCAATAGGGTCATAATTCTCTCTCTAATGGATGACTTGATAGGGCGCATCCTATTCTGATACTTGCTTAGGATCTAGTCGTGCTGTGGGCAAGATCTCGATGCCTATCCTATACCGAGGGTGAAATGCAAGGTCGAAATGGTTCTAGAGTCTCGGCAGGAAGTAAGTGTCCGCATGGACCATCGTGGCTTTTTTTGTGTACTTGTTATTGCTGATTCGATATTAGCAACTACCAATACATTTTTCACTACACTAAACCACCCACATTTTATGTCACCAACACTTTGTGGTCAGCTACATACCCCCAACATGGTTAAAAACAAGTTATTTGATAACAAGCCCAACATTGAATACAGTTTATTCCGTCACTGTACTTTCGACGCACATCGGACGTATGCGAGAGCGGGTTCCCGGGAGGGAAATCGTTTTCGTGGCCAGAATCCACGGCCCACGATTCACGGCGTAGTGGCGAAGGAGCACATGGAAGATTTTCGCAAGCGACAATGTTTCAACTGCCACCAGCCAGGTCACCGGTCTCACGATTGCCCCCGAAAGAAGCAGATAAAGAAGAACGATGACGGCGGGTCGGGAAACGCCAAGCGTCAGTAGCAGTCGGGCCCCCTACTGACCCTGCCTCATCGCCCGAAAAACAGCATCCCCACCGAGTAGTGGTTCCGATACACGCTATCAATAGCTCCCGACTGAGAAAGGAGGATGACCCTGTGGACCACCCTGTACTGGCGGAAGGACGTTTCATGGAAGAAAAATAAAAATATTCATCGACGGAGGTGCGAGTCGTAGCCTGATAAATCGCGAGACGGCACGACGACTACACCTGACGCTGGAAAGGTATCTACCCGAAATCGACGCACGATGGACGGCACCCCACTGGCGATACGCGACAGAGTTCCCGTCGTTCGAATGAAGTGTGGCGAAGATTTTGGTTTCAGCACGCCGATGCTGGCGACAACGCTCGACGGCTACGATGTGCTATTGGGACGCGATTGGATGCGACGATTCAACCCGCAGATTGATTGGACGACAGGCGAGTGCACAGTGAAGTGCGACAAAGGCTGGCGAAAACTACCTACGTGGCCGGAAGCAGAGACAACGTCGACACGAGTCAACGCGGTGTGCCTCAACCGAGCGGTCAAGAATGGAGCGGATTTGTACGCCGTCCATCTAACCGAATCGACGGAGAAGAACGAGGCGACCGACATCAACAAACTCTGCGCCTCGGTCCCGGATGACATGGCGAAAATCATTCGGGAATATCCCGAAATTTTCCCAGACGATTTGCCAAGTGGCCTGCCACCCGAACAACCTCAGGACCACAAAATCGAGCTGGAGCCCGGCGCGCAACCTACTATACGCACGCAATGGCACCTGACTCAGCCAGAACTACAGGAATTACGAAATCAGCTCGACTACCTGCGGGCGAAAGGGTTCATTCGGCCGAGCACGTCACCGTTCGCAGCACCGATCATGTTCACGCCAAAAAAGGACGGCGGACTTCGCATGTGTACGGACTATCGTGCCCTTAATCGGGTAACGATAAAGTCGCGCTACCCAATACCACGCACGGACGAATTGATCGACAACCTTCGCGGAGCTCGCTATTTTTCGAAGATAGACCTTCGCGGCGGTTACCATCAAATTCGGGTGTTCGCCGACGACTGCCACAAGACCGCATTTCGTACTCGCTACGGGAGTTACGAATACACGGTGATGCCGTTTGGATTAACGAACGCCCCATCGACGTTTCAACTCACCATGAATGGGGTATTCCGCGATCTACTCGACAAATGCGTGATAATTTACCTGGACGACATCCTGATCTACAGCAAGACCCGGGAGCAACATTTGCAGGATTTGGAAGCGGTTTTTTCAACGGTTGCAGCAGCATCGACTCATCACCAAGGGCTCCAAGTGCGAGTTTTTAAAACAAGAACTGGAGTTCCTGGGGCACGTGATCTCCACGGAGGGGATTCGAATAGACCTGAAAAAACTCAGGGCTATTCAGGAGTGGAAACCGCCCGCAAATCTGCAGCAGCTGCAATCATTTTTGGGTTTCGTGAATTACGTGCGGCGGTTTATACCCAATATGGCGGGGTTAACTGGACCTCTAACCGACCTACTGCAGAAGGGAACATTTTACGAGTGGGGGGAGAAGCAACAAGCTGCGTTTGAGACATTAAAAACTCTTTTAATGTCACCACCGGTACTTCGCATCGCTGACCCGGAACGACCCTTCGAAGTCATCACCGACGTCGCCATCGGAGCCGTACTCATGCAGGATTTCGGCAACGGGCTTCAACCAATCGCGTACGAGTCTCGGAAAATGCAATCTGCTGAGCGCAACTACCCAGTACACGACAAGGAGATGTTGGCGATCGTCCACGCGTTCAAAATCTGGAGGTGTTACCTGACTGGAGCAGACGTGACGGTGCGAACCGATCACAAATCACTACAGTACCTGAGAGCGCAGCCGAACCTCAACCCGCGGCAGATACGCTGGCTGGACTATCTGAGAGTCCAACTTCACGTACAAGATCACGCATAAAAAAGGCGCCAACAATATTGACGACGCCCTTTCCAGACCATCTGCCCAACTCGCCGCAGTACTAGTCGCCTTGAGCAACCCGCTACTAAGTGGACTATTTACCCACGGGTATTCGACTGACCCCTTCTTCGTAAACGACGGCCATCTCACAATGACTACACGGAAAGGCGTCTATTACTTACGAAGCGGGACTGATCGAATTTGGGTCCCAAGTTATCGTCTACTTCGCGAATTATTAATTCAAGAAGTCCACGATTCGAATTTATCGGGACATTTCGGGGTTGACAAAACTTTGAAGGCGTTGCATCGGTTTTATTACTGGCCAGATATGGTGACGGACGTGCACCGTTACGTGGCCGCGTGTCCGATCTGCCAGCGAATGAAATCCTCACACAAGCGACCTACAGGACTGTTGCAGCCCCTCGAGCAACCTCAACGACCATGGCAACACGTAACGATGGATTTCGTTATGGGACTACCGGCCGGACCCAGCGGAAACGACGCAGTGTTGGTTGTCGTCGACTGATTGACGAAAATGGCGCACTTCGCCCCATGTCGTACAACCATCACAACCGAAGAAACAGCGTCCCTGTTCATCTCGACCGTTGTTCGTCTACACGGGATACCAGCAGCAATCATTAGCGATCGAGATCCAAAGTTTACGTCGAAATTCTGGCAGGACACGTGGGCTCGATACGGCACGCGTCTACAGTTCTCATCCGCGTATCATCCCCAAACGGACGGCCAGACGGAAATGACAAATCAAACGATGGAGCAGCTCATTCGGACAAACTGCCCCGACCGGAACAAATGGGAGGACGCGCTGCCCATCTTGGAATTTTCCTACAACAACGAGCCCTCGGCTACGACTAATCACTCCCTGTTTTATCTCAATTACGGGATGGACCCTACAGTGCTGATCTCCACCAACATTGAGAGTCAAGTACCACGATCGCAGCAGTTCGTCGAAGAATTACAGACTGCCCGAGACAAAGCTGTCGAACTGATTCGCAAAGCGAACACTACTGCTCGACGGTATGCGGATTTACATCGACGGTGTATTACAATGGCAGCAGGGCAACTAGTCCTTTTGGACTCCAAGAATTTACGACTGCCACTACCGACGAAATTACGACCACATTTCTGTGGCCCATTCAAGATCGTGAAAATGGTGACGCCGGTGACCGCCCAGTTACGTCTGCCTGATGACTGGCGAATTCACAACAAATTCCACGTGAGTCTGTTGCGACCCTTTGTTCCTGACACGTCGGACATCACTCGCCAGCGATTGGTCCCAGATGTACGGCCACCAGCTGAGATGACCATCGAGCCTTCGAAGATCTTGAGCCATCGGATTCGTATCGACGGTCAAGGATGCCGTGTTGACTTTCTTATACGATGGACCAATCGTACCAGTGAGGACGATACGTGGGTGCCCTCGGACCAGATACAGTCACCTTCGATACTTGCGAATTATTTGGACGCAAGCACGTGCTGATATAGATCACCTTCGGGAGTTCTCCAGGCCTCGCTGCGTTACTTCGAGACCCTTCGATCTCCTTCCCGAACCTTACCATCGCATGGTTAGACTAGCTCTGGTGTTCCTATATCTTGGCTTGCCATTCCTTGTATCGTCATTCAATTGAGTGAACACTTCGTTATTCATTTCCACGCTACTCTGCTTGTTCATTCATAACAAGTAATATTTTTTGTCTTTTTTTTTATGCAATAGAGCTCCGCAACCCTAAGACGATTTCGTCGCCCCTTGTTTTTTGTGTGTGTGTGTGTGTGTGTGTGTGTGTGTGTGTGTGTGTGTGTGTGTGTGTGTGTGTGTGTGTGTTGTGTGTGTGTGTGTGTGTGTGTGTGTGTGTGTGTGTGTGTGTGTGTGTGTGTGTGTGTGTGTGTGTGTGTGTGTGTGTGTGTGTGTGTGTGTGTGTGTGTGTGTGTGTGTGTGTGTGTGTGTGTGTGTGTGTGTGTGTGTGTGTGTGTGTGTGTGTGTGTGTGTGTGTGTGTGGTGTGGTGTGTGTGTGTGTGTGGTGTGTGTGTGTGTTGTGTGTGGTGTGTGTGTGTGTGTGTGTGTGTGTGTGTGTGTGTGTGTGTGTGTATATGTATGTGTGTGTGTGTGTGTGTGGGTTTTTTTTCCAACTCCTTACTGGTTTCCCTCCACGTGGGACCAAACACTCGTCACTCCAGAATACACCCCTACTTCTTCGGAGGCTCGGGAAATATCCCTGGCGGTCGGTTCCCCTGGCAGTCACGTACACATGATGCCCGCCGGAGGCCTAGCTCAATATGTGGCCCAATCAGAAACCATCGCCCATTAGCGTTGTCACACGGGCAACGGCCCACTCAACGTGGGCCGTGAACAGAGCCAGCAGTGCAGCGTCATCATGACAGCGGTGACAAACATGCGGCACAAGACGAAAGATGTGCGCCGCAACCATTTTCACCACAAACTTCCAGCCGCACTCGGAATAGCGCTCCGACGAAGGTCAGCGAGCCCTTCGTTGAGCTCGCAAAATTACACACGCCCCGCTGGGTTTGTTTGTGGCTTGAGCGTCGCCGCATGAAACCGAATACTGACTTGGCAGCGAAATGGAGTCGCGATGTCCCGATGCCAGGGGTCGTTCTCAACATCCGACAGTCAACCTAGGAACAGACTCGAAAACAAATTCCCACAATCCACGCAGTAGTTATTGTTGCGACACGAACCTTCAATTCGTAATGTAAGAAATATTTAGAACACGCCCGTAATATTTGGAGCTGAAATGCGACTCCAACACCTCACCCCATTACACTGAGTATAAAAGGGAGCAAACCAAACCAGAAAAACTCACTCAGCATCTCACCCGCCAACCACCACTCTGGTGCTACACCAGAGAAACTAACTCTCGCTTGAAAGCGCCGAAACTTAACACAGGGTAACTAAGTAAACAATGGCTCGCCAAAATATGCCACTCAAACCTACCCCGTAAAACATCAAAATGGTAACCTTCGTGCCCGTGCGAAAGGCCCACATGCCCGTGACGATGCTGTGCGAAACCCGTGCGTGTTTTTGTCTACCGGCACCCTGAAAAGTTGTGTTCCTCTGTCAGGCTCAAGGTGTACAGTCACATTCTCAAAAAAACAAACGCGGCCAGCCTGACAAACTGTACAGACGATGTCCGCAAAGTGCCCTGCCCAAAAAAAATCCCAATTGCCCCCCCCCGCCCAATAGCAGAAGTTTACGGGCAGTATCCGTTTCGAGAGAGTCCCCCGCGCCGGCTACTGTGCTGAGTCATCATGACAGCGGCGATGAACATGCGGACAGCGACGAAGCAGTTGCAGCCTTCTGGTTTTCGCCACATATTTTCGGACGGCGTCGCGAGGAAGGTTCGTCCAGGCCCAAATGACCTTTCGCATTTTTCGCGAAGCCGCGAACGACACGAGGGCAATGGAAACCAACGGAACACCACAAATGGGAAACGCCTCGATGACTCAGCATGGCATGACCCCTAGGCAACTGACTCAACTAGAGCCTTATTCCGTCGAAACAACTGCACACTTATCTTTGCCGCACGACTAGTGAAATCGAGCCTTCAAAGCGACGGTGTTCCGAAAACCCGTCATCGCTTACATCCTCGAAGTGGTAAACACCGGAAAGAGAGAACGGGCCCCACCACCAAACTCAACTTTCCCCGTGAACAGTGACATTTCGCCAGGGCCTCAAAGGCCTCTCGTTATTTTCGCCGAGTCGCGTACGACACGTTGGCAAGGGGAACAAGCTGCGCACCGCGAATTCTGACCCTCATGCAGCGGAAATTAGCCAACCCCTGTTCACACTCGACAATGCAAACTTGAGTGAGGCCCGCGAAGAGAACTAAGTAACTATTTCAACCTATAAACGCCTGATAAAATCGCTTTGCAACACTTACTCGACGGCTACAGCCAAACGTACAGGTAAGGCAACGGCTAAATCACATGTCACAAACACGGCCTAGCATACCACCCCACACGATAACACTAGAGGTGGCCCAACACTATGAATAACGAGCTCAAACTTCCCCTGCACATCAACCACGTAGTTTGCATCGAGAACCACCATGCCTCGAGTTCATCGCCGAGCTCAGCTCCCCCTGGAGGTGAAGCGCGCGATTTGCAAGCACCACGCAGACTACCCTCATCTCCGCCAGGAAGATTTGGCTCGATGGTGCTTCAGTCGGTACGGATTCAAGCCCATTGACACGTTGGCGTATGCACGATAGTGACACGTTTATGCCACATACAACGTGCACGCGTCTCACCGTGTGCTCTCTTCCCAACCTGCCCCACCCCCGTTAATGTTCTTCCTCTCCGCAGCTGTTCACGGCGTTCATGGAGCAGCTCAACGCTGCAATGTTTGCCGAAGGCCGCCACGTCTTCGTACTCGTGGACAACGCGTCGAGCCACAATCTTCTCTCCCCCGAAGTCATAACCGAAGATCTTTTCGGTTTCCGCACCCGCGCCCTCTCCAACCTCCGCCTCGTGTATCTCCCCCCCAACACCACATGCTTTACGCAGCCCCTAGACCAAGGCATCATCGCCATGGTTAAGGCGCGGTATCGCTCCAGGTGGCTCGAGGAGCTCACCGGACGGTGGGGCGCGAGGGGAGCCGCGAGCGCCCTGGTCCGATTCCGCCCGAGCATGCGGGACATCGTGGAGTGGGTGTGGGAGGCATGGTCCGGCGTCGGCGCGCACACCATTCAACGGTGCTGGTGGCGCACCGGTTGCCTCCCCGATGAGTGGGTGGCAGACCTTGAGCACGTGCCCGCCCCCCCGCTCCCATGCGACGACCTCCCCGATGACGAGCGCGACGAGGGGACGGACAGCCCGTTCAGCGACCTCGACGACGATGAGACCCTCGACGACGTCATCGAGGGCGTCGGCCTCCAAATCGCTGCCCTTGAGCTCGGGCCGAGCGCTATGTCGGCGGCCGACTTCGTTGCCATCGACGACGCGCAGCCCACGTGCGCCGAGGCGGACGATGATCCGCTTGCCGACGAGCCGTCGTCGCCGGCACGGCGCGACGCGTGGAACTCGCCGCCCCTTGACGCATTCCGCCCCTTCGGCGATGCTGGTGACCGTGCGCGCCGCCGCGCGGCGAGGGCGGCGTGCGAAATGTTGATTGGGTACGCGCGGGCCACGTCGGTTTCGCCGCGAGACCTCCTCGCATTGTTTGACATCCGTAACCCGGTGGTCGTCAACCGGCTTCAGCGTGCGTCTCCACTCCCTGACCTCAACGCACCCGCGGCTAGACCGCCCCGCTCCCCCCCTCGTGGCCGCATCCTACCTTGGTCGATTGCCGGGGGAGAGCGCCGACGGGAGCTGTACGCACAGGGCGTGGGGGCCTCCATGGACGGGCTCTTGGGCCCGGCGGAGTGGATGCGACGTCCATTCGGCAGTGAGTAGAGCGCGGCCACATGGGTTATTCGCGCTCTAACTTGGTTCATCCGGGCATGCGGTGTTTGGAAGAGCTTTTTCACATGGCTGTATGGTTGCCTCGGTGGTACAGGGTGGATGTGTCTCTCTCATGTTAGAGTTACAAGTGCTTGGGTGAGACATGGTGTGTCCCATGTCAGTGTGCAGCTGCCTTTTGGTTGTTGAGCTTTGTGAGGCTGAGGTGCGGCTGTTTGTCACTGTGTCGAGCCATTTCCATGCTGCAAATGTCATGTTCGTGAGCTGTTGGTTGACCTAATGAAACAGCACTTGGGGTGGCTTCTGTTCGACACAGTGCAAAACAGCGTAACCCTGGTTACATATGCAATCCAAACTCTGCCACCCAAACCTTCCCCTATTGCGACAAAAAAGTTACCAACGTGCTCACCCTGAATCCCTCGCTCCTAGCAGAGAAAGCGGGCGAAATACCAATTCGACAGAAGCCCCCGCGGCTCGAAAAAGTGGCGTTCCTCTCTCGGGCTCAGGCTGTACACGCTTGTTTCTAACGAGATTTAGACACCCTCGGTTGGAGGGACCACCAGACCAGAGGGGTTGCAGCAAACTGCACAAAACGAGCGTCGCAAAACTTCCCAGCGAATCCCGTTGTGTCAGCGCCACGAATTCGACAGCGTCGAATCTCCCTTTGGCCTCTTGTCGTCCAATGCACGACCAGCTTTCACAAGTGCCAGCGAACACGGGGACCACCATACCGCTCCGTGAGCTGTCGGAGGCTCACAATGACTCATCAACCCCTTTCCCGAATCATCAGCATTTCTGGCTCCTCCTGGACAGAAAACCTGCGAAACACTGTCCTGGCTTCCAAAACAAGGTGAACACGAGGCTGACACGAGGCTGTCTGTGTAAAGGGTGTGTCCCAAGAGTAGCCTGAAATTGCGGTTGGGTAAGGTGCAGGAGGTTTAAATTTTAAAACTGAAGTTGTTAACAGAAAACGGATGCTTTGGGAGACGCCCACGAACCTCGTACCAGGGGTCGACGCCAATGGATGCTTTGGTGAGCCGATGACACGAGATACGGAATCGGCCCGGAGGTGTACAACTCCTGTACAGCAATTGAAATATCCACACGTGTCACTTCGGGTGTCTCCTCTCCTCCCCTTGCGCTCAGCAGAAAATCGCTGCTACAGCGGGAGTCGCTCTAACCGACTTCCTTGCACTCTTTCAGTGTGACGGTGTTGATCTCTTCCTGTGATCCCGGAGATGAAACAGTTCTCAAGCCTCACAGCACCACAGCACGCACGTACAGTACCAACCACAGAACCAGATGACCTCACAGTTCCTAACCATGGCGGCCTTCTGTTTCGCAGAGCTGTGTTGTTTAGGTTTCGACCTCTGTTAGGTATCCATTGGTCCTACGTTACTTGTGGTTCCCAACCAAGCCGTAGATCTCGCTTTTAGGGTTGTTCTTACTAAGGTTGCTCTTGCGACTATCTCGGAGGGTGCTCCTGATGCGTCCTTACGAGGTTTCATGCGTGGCGAGACCAGTCCAGCATGCTTTCAGCACAGGTACTTTTCTCGTTGTCCCCGCTGACGGAGGCATGCCTTACAGTTCCGCCGGTTTTTGGTTCGGTTGTTTTTGGCCCGCCGATTCAGGCTTCTAAAAACTTCACCTTTTACATCGAACGTCAAACTTTCAGGGTGATTGTACTTAGTCTTGAGTCAGCATCTGCCTTCGTCACTTGGGCTTAAAATTTTCATTTAGCCATATTCGAGCAGCGTTAGACGATTTGCTCCTGTATTAAGAGTAAATGTCTGCTGCTGGTCCACGAGAATTTCTTCCCACTCTCAAGTGTCGACCACTTTCTACTTGCGTCACTCGAATCCCGTCTTAGGCACACCGCTTTGCTCCGCGAATCGAGGTGCCTTTTTTCAACTCTCGGAGAAGGTCAGTAGAGAAGGCTTGGTATACTCTGTCGCTTGGCTCGATTGCGACTCCTTGCTCACCTTGTTCCTAACGTTATCGTATCTTGAGCATAGTCGTGGTGTATTTGGTCTGTTCATTTGCAGGTTACGAAGTGGTGTGATTCTGTCGAGGCCGCCGTCGTCCAATGGATTATCGACTTCGTTGCCACCAGGTATTTCCCGTCTTCTTTACCCTACCCTTTATTGCTTGTGTGCTTGCGGAGGGTCCTCAATACATCGTTTATATTTCATCGTCTCGTCGCCCGTGTTGCTGCTCCCTCTTTCCCTCCTCGACGGGTCTCAATACAAATCTCTTCGCGAACCCGACGATGCAGGGCCATCGCGTTGTTTGTCTTGCTGAATCCTCGACTCTCTTCGCATCAGCAATTTCGTCTACATGTAAGGCTTTCAGCAGGGAAGGGTGGTTGAGTTGTCATGAAAAACATGCTTTCGTGGCGCTATGACTGATTTGTTTGCTTCAACAGGTTAAAGCTTATGGCTTTCCGTCCCTTGACGTATATTCTGGTTCTGCATTTTTTCGGTTTTTGTGAATCCTGGCAGCAAATGATGTCGAAGGCAGTTGAGCGGTCATGGCTCCGAAGGAAGGTTGATGTGCGATTGTTGAAGTACGGAATTTGGATGGCCTTCTTTTCGCCTGGTCATTCGTGTTATTCGTGACCACGATTCTTCTGTCATTTCTGTTTTGAAGTGCTCTCATAAAACTTCTCTTTGTTTGCAGGGGTATTTTGGCACTCGCCTGCCCAAACCGAGATCTGCTCAACCTAATTGATTACCTGGTTAGTCTTCCTAGCCCCAGTGCTGTTTGCTATTTTGCTTCTCGTTGAACCGAACATTGCACGCTGCTCCATATGCGAAGGTGCACTTGTCTCTCATATCCTTCCTTCTATGTTCCTGCCAACGCCCGTTTGTTTGTGGGGGTTGATGGGTTTGCATGCGCAGTCCGAGACTGCTGCTTCATTATGCGACAGCCAGATCTCCTCTGACCTGCAGCTTTCCCCCAGTGACATCTGTCTACATCCGGCTCCTTGTAGGGCTACCTGCCAACCTGACCCCTGTGCACGAACACAGTCCCCCGTCTTTCGACCGCCTCCTGTCCCTGTCAATACACCTCCCCAATCCACGGCGACTTCTACTGGCCGTTTTACAAGTTCGCCACATCTGTGCAGTGGAGCCAGCATCCTGCAATTAGATGCGAAAACCAGGATATTGCAGAGCAAGCACTGTCCAGAAGTTGCCATCAGCATTGGCGCGCCCTTGAGTTGCTATCAAGCCGAAGGCAGTATGCCTGAGGCGTTTGGTGGTAGGGATTTAGGCATGGGTGCTGCATCTCTCTGCAGTTGCACCGATCTTATACCGGGTAAGGAGCCTGGGATACCTCTACAGACCTCTTCTCTACCACGAGCAGCAGCAGCAGCAACAACCTTTCTGACAACCGCCAGAACAACAGAGGGGAAGACAGGGTTGCCTTCAGCTTATACAGCAAGAGAGAGTGATCCATCTACACTCTGTCAAGCCATCTGCCATTCTCAGCCGCTCTTGCGAAGCCTGCAACAAACACGTGTACCTGGCCCGGGTTATGCTTCACAGTTTCAAGCTGCTCCAAGTTGCTGTCATCGTGGCACTTGTCATCCTCAACATCCTCTTGCAGCTGTTCAGCCTCTGCAGTCACAGGAGATTTTAAGAGTGTCATCAAGATTAGCAACAACAACTGCAGCAGCAGCTACGACAGTACCACCAGCAGTAGCAGCAGCAGCAGCAGCAGTTGCAGCTTCCATGGTAGCACCAGTCGCTGCTGTCTCATCATCCCCTCCACTGGTTCTGCTACCAAGAACGTCAATTCTATCCCAACCAAACAGCTTAACCAATGCCAGCCATAGCTTCCTTCCTTCCAGCATGCCAGCTCAGCCATGCCCATGTGTCGCCACATCATCTTGCCCATGCCAGTTACGACGCCTGGCAGTACTAGCTTCACCGTCAGTACCAGCTGCTCCCAGAACAGGCGCAGTAGCAGCAGCGACGGCCTGTTGGTGGTTGCTGACAGAGTGGTTTATTGTGGACCGTGACTTGGTGGCAGCCATGCCTCCTGCAGTGCAGCGGTCTGTGCTGGAGGGGCTGTGTGGGGACCACATGGATGGCATGCTCAGGCTTGTGCATGCTGCATCAACCATGCCGCATGCCTGCTACCACCATGCTGTGCTGCCTGAGCTGCTGGCTTGGTTCAGGGAGCATCCCCCGACATGCTGCATCTCGCTGGAGCCTCTCGTGTCAGAGGTATAGCATGATGATTTGAATTTGTCTTGGTGTTGTTGTCTTGATGTGTTCGCCCTGGTGTCCCGCTCTCTTTTTTTTCTTCCCTGCTTCCTGCTCTGATTTCCATTGTGTCGCTGCTTTGACAGTTGTGGTTTCGTGAATGGGTCATGTAACCGCTGACCTGATGACCTGCTTTGGTCTGTGCATGCAGGATGGACGGGTTTGTCCAGACGTTGTTGCTGTGGTGCAACGAACGCGCAAGAGTCCGAGCAGTGGCAACCATACCAGCAAGCAGCCAAAGCTCCATGCAGTACGTCCCTCCCTCCCTCCCTTGCATTCCTGACAGCATCTGTTTTTACTTGCATGCTTTCTGCTGTACTGTTGTCACACTTGCCGTAGAGTCTTTTCACGCTGTGTTGCTCAGCTGATGCATTCAAAACGGTGCTCGTCTCTTATTGCTGGCGCTTCCTTCTCCTTGCTGCCTGTGGCAGTTCTTGTTCCGAGGCAATGCACTTTTCGACTGGCTGGCTGTCTCTCCCCAGCCGCTCAACCCAAAGACACGTGCCACCATCCTCCCAATGGATATTTACCGCTTGTCATAACCTCTCTGAGGTAGAACTCTTGAATTGAATGTATGGTGTTGCCCGCACAGAGCTTGTCTGTTCTGTGGTATGGCGTGGGTTGCTGGGCATGAAACTGGAACACGTTCTGCTGCTGGCCTGGTTTAACCTCTGCAGGTTTCATTGCTGAGTTTTGTTATGATGGTAGGTGGTTTGAGCAGGTTTTTAGAAGTTACATGTCACTACCGAAGTGATGTTGCCTTTCCACAGTACACTCACAATCTTGAATGCGCATGGGCAAAAGTTGTTAATTTATACATATCTTGCGTATGTTGAAGTTGTAGGCTACCGGGGTATGTGCTCTTAGAGAGTACAACGCCCAACCATATGTTGCCTTGTATCCCCTCATTCTAGTCATTTTGTTATTCTGAGATGGTATCAGCTCTGTTAGGTCCGCTCACCCGCGCACTTCCACCCTAGACCGCCCTAGCCGCCCTAGCTCGCCCTAGCCCGCCCTAGCTGGCCGCTTGCTCCTCGCCCGCTGGCCCCGCGCTCGCCGGCCCTACCGCGCCGGCCCCACGCCCACTGCCCCCCCCCCCGCTTGCTTGCTGGCCCCGCGCTCGCCCGTTGGCCCCGCTGCCCACCGGCCCTAGCTCGCTGGCCCCGCGCGTCGGCCCCTGCTAGCCGGCCCCTAGCTCGCCAGCGGCCGGCTGCCTGCCGGCCCCTGCTTGCCGGTCCCTGCTGTCGAGTGACCCACTGGGGTTACCCTTGAGAAGATCCTCGAGGAAGGGCCACAGGTGCAGAGCCTGGGGGGCTATGGGCGCACTGACCCGCTATTAACAAGCCCTTTTTTAACTCAGTGGTTAGTGGCTGAGTTCTGACATGGTATCAGAGCGTTGGTGACTCGGGTTCAATTCCCAGTGCTAGCGCTGCAGAGGCGCTCGTGTCTTCCACATATCCCAGCGAGGGAGGGTGTCGAGTGACCCACTGTGGTTACCCTTGAGAAGATCCTTGGGGAAGGGCCACAGGTGCAGAGCCTGGGGGGCTATTGGCGCACTGACCCGCTATTAACAATCCCTTTTAACTCAGTGGTTAGTGGCTGAGTGCGCCCGCCGGCCCCAGCCCTTGCCGGCCCCAGTCCGCGCCGGCCCTGACTCCCGCCAGCCCCTGCTCGTCGGCCCCTGCTCGCGTCGGCCCCGGTCCGCGCTGGCCCCAGCTCCCACCGGCCCCTGCTCGCCGACCCCTGCTCGACGGCCCTTGCTGGCCGGCTCCTGATTGGGTTCAGCGCCAGATTGGCCAGTCCCTGGCCGTCCACGTCGACAGTAAGCTCCCCTGCCCCAACCCGCCTGCTGCCCTCCCTGACGTCCCCACGCCTGCTGAGCGTGAGGCTTTTGCAGCTGCTGAGCTTGCCCGCTCTGTCTGGGAGTCGCACAACGCAGTTGCGCAGCTTGCTATCAGTCACGCCCTCCCCCTGTCCGAACGTCCACGCCTTCAGACTGTAGAGACTGCAAAGGAATTCTTAGATACTGTCATTGCACGCTACTCCACTCGCTCCTCTGCCTCTGCCGGCCGTTTCCTGATCCCCCATGCTCTTTCTTGATCTCTCGTCCTTCCCCACTATCGTTGACCTCTCCACTCACATGCGCGCGCTCGAGGCTAGCTACCACGCTGCTAGCACTGAGGCCCAACCCACTGTACTGCCTCCCCCCATCGGCGCTACCCTTTACTTCGTTGCCACGCGCCTTCGCGTTGCCACTCTGTCTGCGATAGAGACCCGCCAGCGCGCTATCGCTCAGTCCAGCGGTATTGTGGTCGTCCCTATCTTCCAGGGCCATGCTCCCTCCCAGTACACTTACTCTGATGTGTCTGGCGCTGTCGCTTAGGCAGCCCCTGCTGCTCAGACCGCCGCAATAGTAGTGGGCGGTCCAAGCGGCGTCGTTGCTTTTAAGTGAGAGCGGAGCAAGTCATGAGTCGCCTCAAAATTGAAGTGAGCGAAGCATATAGTACTAGACTGCGTTCGGTCCAACCGAAACCTAGACCATTCGGTGTGCGGCGCTCGTATTGAGCGAGCGGCGTTCAGGATATGTCCAAGATTGTTGGGCCGCACGCCGTGAGAGTGCTTGCCGAACACCCCTTTACCACTCCACAATGTACAACTGAGCATCATGGCGATACAGTATACTGTACATTGCCTGCGCTGCTCTCCAGCGCGCTCCAAGCATGAGCACGAGAGAGGGAGGGAGGCAAGAGCAAGGGGATTGGAAAGAGCTGACCTGCACTACACGCTAACTGGCAGCATTTGCTGAACGGTGTACTGTAGTGTACAGAAATGACAGCATCCACCCCGCAACAAGACAACACATCACGTGTACGGTGAACCACAATGCACCGCACCGCCCAATGGCAGCATCTGTGCAGCTCTGGCTACCTCTCTCCTTCCGAAGGAGTCCTCTGTTCCTCCTCCCATTCCACAGCGGTGGAAATTCGCCGCCAAACGAACAGCACTGGCTGTAGTCTCTCCTCCATGCACTCTCTCGACTACGAACTGTGCGAATTCACATCTCCCGCTCCCCCACAGCTTCCTCTCCTGTACAGTACAGGTCAGACGCGACTAGTGCAACGACTCCTAAGGCACACATTCGCACAGGGCAATGTTTCGGTATGCGCAACTCCCATATACGCAGCGTGTACGATGTTCCTCCAATTGTATAAGCGTACATAATAAATGCCGCAACCTCTAACATTCAATTAAAAATGGTCAAGACCACAATCCATTGGTCGACGATCCAAAATACCCCCACTTACAGACCTTATTGACCCATTGGTGTGAAAAAAATCCACATGATCCCCAACACACGCTGACAGAACCCATTCACCAATCGAAGCAAGCCACCAAAGCTCAAGACATCCGACATGATTTCTGAATGTAATCCGTCAGGAGGGGCAAATGCATCCGGAACTGAAGTGGAATGAAGTCATAGGTGGACAACGGGAGCCTGATGTCACCCCGTCACGCAGGGGTATTAAGACACGCCAACCGAGTGTCCAGGGAAGCATCACCTGCCTAGTGACTCGGCGGCTCGATGGCGCGCGTCCGTCGGGTCGCATTCACAGTGGCAAAGAAAAATTCCATTTGTGATTACAGTATGTCAGCAAGCACCAGTCCCTCTACCTCTATGACTTGGTGCAGTGGTGCCGCACCAGGTTCAGATTGTTCCCTGGCCGCAGTACCATCTCGAGAATTCGGAGTCACGAAGCATGATGGCAGGCCCTAGGACTAGAAAGCACAAAGCACAAGCGACTGCGAAATGCTTTCTAGCCCGAGTTGGAAGACCGTCTTAGGACGTAGATTCAAGCAATCAACAATGCGGGGCTTCCCATCTTGACGGCACTCATCCAGCAATGCGCGCTCGCCCTTGCGCTCGAGTGCAGGGTACACAAAGACTTCAAGGCGAGCAACAGATGGGTGTAGAAGGCGATGAAGCTTCTCGGGGTGGCAGAAGCTCATGGGCAAGGCGAAGTCGGCGAATGTGGACGCGACCCTCCTCGCGAAGCTCCATTTCCCACGGCTGTGCGAGATGCTAGGTCTTCGTCCGGAAGACCTATTCAATTTCGACGAGACTTACATCTATTGGGCCGCTCTAGCAGACCACACCTACCGCACCAAACCTAATTCCGACACCAAGACGGTGAAAGACCGACTGACAATGGTGTTGCAGATGAATGCTGACGGCTCGAAAAAAATCAAGCCGTTGATTCTCCACCGCCATCTGCGCCCGAAAAGCTTCACCCGGAAGGACTTCAACCCCACCAAATACTGCTACTGGAGGAAGAATTCATACGGCTGGATGACGGTTGAGGTGCGTCTCGGCATGTACCGTCCTTGCCGTCATAGTGTGTACAAAATACTGACAGCGTGCTTCTTTCGTGGCTTGTTTTTTACCTGTTACAGATTTTCACAGCTTTCTTTGAGCACGTCAATGCTTGCTGCATTGCGGAAGGGTGGAGCATCTGTATGATGGTCAACAATGCCTCCTCACATAATCTGCAGTCTCCGCTTGCGTCGAGTGCAGATATCTGCGGATTCCACACCCAAGCGCTTTCTCATCTCCGCATTGTCTACCTGCCACCGAACACAACCCCCTTCACGCAGCCCTTGGACCAGGGGGTTATGTTCTGCCTCAAGGCAAAGTACAAGGGCCACCTGCTGTAGGACGTCCTATGCGAGTGGGGGATTGCCGGCATGACTGTCCCTCGGTTGCTGACCTACAAGCTCGAGATGACTCGAGTCGTCGAGTTCATCTCGGACGCAACACTCACCATCAAGACGAGTACGATCTAGAAATGCTTCTGGTGTAATCAGATGCTCCCGCTGGCCAGGGAGCCATTGTTCACCCTCCTCGGGTCGTCAAGCGTGTCAGAGCCGCATATCCTGGACGAGGACATCCAGGTCGTCCAGTCGGCGATGGACGAGCTGCTATTCGGCCGGCCTGGAAGTATCTATGCCGGCGTCGGCTTCGTCCTGGCCGACATCGACGAGGATACGAGCACCGAGGGCGGGCCGGACCCTCTGGAGGTCGAGCCTCTAGCACCTCCTGTCCGCGACTCATGGTCGGCGGCCACGGCGCCACCGTAAGCGCCTGCGGCATCCGCGCGAGACCGCATGCCATTGGCGAGGATGGCAGCCGAGATGCTGGTTGGTTACGCTCGCAGCCTTGGCCTTGCTCCTCGGGATCTCTGAGTCCTCTTTAACATTCGCGACCCCGTCGTCTTCAAGAGGCTCAAGCGGGCATCACCCCCGTAAGGCCCCGCGGCGCGCACTGCCAACATGGGCGAGCGCTACCGTGAAAACGTTCTTCGTGCGACTGCAGCGATGATGGGGTTCCCCGACGTGGGGGAATGGATGACCTTCGGCGCTGGTAACGCGCTGTGAACGCCTCCTCTCCTCGCATGGCTATGTGTGCTCCCTATGCTAGGTGTGGCTGGTGTGACGTGCTCCTAAGGGGCTCGCGTTCGGAATGTTGTTTTCCTGTCTTTTGTCGTGTGCGTTTCCATGCTTTGGTGATCGTGTTGTTGTGGTGTTTTTTTATGTGTGTTCGGATTTTACTGTCGTATGTTTTGTCGAGTCTTACAGTAAGGAGTCTTTTTGGCAGTTGTGTTTGCGTCCTTTGTTTATGATATGAGGAGTGGTTACGTTCTGGGACATGCAACACACCCATGAAACGTCGCACAAATATGTGTTCGGAAACCTGCGACTTCACGTCGCAGCATACGCCAGAGGCACCGACCATGTACAAAACACAATAGACAGCACCGCAAC